TGGTAACCGCAGGCATCTGCTCAAAATTAAAACAAGCTGAAAATCGGTTGGTTTTCTACAAATAAAGTCGTGAATAATTTTCGATATTTTTAATAAAACAATTATTCCACTCGCGTTTGTTGGATATGGGATGATTATAGCCAACTCTGCGCTAGTAACACGCCTCGTTGGCTATCTCACCCGCATCCTATATCCAACGCGCACTCGTGGAATAATTGTTAAATATGTACTACACTTAGATTTGTATGTTACTAGATTTTTTTTTACTTTTTTTAGAAGTAAAAACTTTATCCTTAAAATGAAGCAAATGATGTTGTTTAACTACATGTAAGTAAAATGCCCTTTCTTATTCTTGCTCAAGCAGAAATCCCTGCAGGATTTGGCACCGGTAGCAGAACTCCACAATCCAACCTGCAAGCCCTCGTCCACACTAATGTGGAGCTGATTTGTAACCCCACTGGTGAACCGAAGCCTACAGTTAGATGGCGCTTTGGTCCAATGCTCGTACAGGATTCTGGCAGACATCGCATCCTATCCAATGGAAATTTAAGGATAAGCAACTTAACTGAATCTGATTCTGGCGAGTACACTTGCGAGGTGTCAAATCGTCTTGCAAAGGCATCCAGGAAAGGCTTTCTCAGGGTAGTAGGTATGTGTCTTTGTAGGAGTTGTTGCAAGCATCAGTCGCTCCGTGTAAGGGAATCCGGATTCCAGTAAATTTTGGCTCCTGGAAACGGGAATGAAGGAAATTTTGTCTTGTGGAATTCGAAATCCTGGGTTTTGGAATCCGTAATGCAGCTTAGGGAATTCGGAATGAAGCTTAAAAGGAATCCTGAATCCCACTAATGACTGAAGTCCGGAATCCAATTTCCACTGACAGAGAATCCGAAATACTGCACCTGGAATCAGGATTCCACGTTTGGATTGCCTTACATGGGGCGACTTAAGGTCTGTCTTAAGTTCAAATTTGCAACCGTTGGTGTAAAAGAAAGCTAAGTGAGAACTTCACCATTTGCCAAAGGGACTGCAGATCGTTCGTTTTGCTTCGCCAACTAATTACCATCTTGCAGTGCGGAACCGTGGCTTGTTTGGTTTTGTTTCTCTATTTGGACGACACAATAACTCAAAGCATCAAAAACTATCCCTGGGATAACTCTTGCATGACGCAGTATGGTTTAAATAGATAATACTATGTTTTATTTTCTTTCTTTCTTTTTCAGAACTAACTTTACTGTCTTTACTCTCCATAGGGCATAAAATAATATGGGAAATTTTTGCTCTTTCATTTTTTCAGTTCAGTCCCTAAGTTCAGTCTTCGTTCAGTATCAGCAATCTTCAAGGTACATATTAGTCTTTTTTTCTTAAAAAAAAGTATATATATATATATTTTTTTTACTTACAGAGTACATGATCACAAGTAATATGCCCGACAGTGCGAGATTATCAGTTGTCCTGGGGCAGGAAGTAACATTCTGGTGTGGTGTGACCACTAAACGACGAATTGAGGTCACGTTTCAGTGGTTTAAGTACTTACGAGATCGCATTGTGACTAATCCTCATTTGAGAACCTGGAAAAGGGATATATATAACAACTTGTCAAATACCAGTGTCCAGAAAGGGTATCTTAAGATCCATGGCGCCAGATACTCCGACTCAGGACCATATACCTGCGAAGCAAAAGGGAATGGCGAGTCCATAATGAGAAAAAGCGTTGTCTTGACGATTCAAGGTATAGTAGACGTTTAGGAAGGGCTAAGAAGTTGGCACAAGTTGGTTTAACTATATCACTATGGTTATGCAGAAATCACAAGCGAAATTAAGCATGCATTGATTTAATCATGGAGAATGGAATGTGCTTAAAGAGGAAAATAGGTGTAGCAAATTGTCCATCGAGTTAATGGGGAGAAAACTCAAGTTTCTCGAAAAGTTTTGTAGAAATCGATTGTACTGTAAAAATGTTCTGCCAAAGCCGACAGCTCAGCTTTTTTGATTCAATTCAATGCAACTTTTTTTCCGTATTTCCTCAAATGATAACCGTCCCTCTAATAATTGCCTCCCGTTGACAGAAATGTTGAAAATAATCGAGTTCCTCTAATAATCTCTCCCCCACGTTTTACCCATAACGGTAAATCGTAGAGCAAGAAGCTGATGTGGAGTCTGAGATCCAGTAACTAATCAGCGACGATTCAAGCTCTGGTGTCGAGAATATTGACATTGAAAACTAATCAATAAACCAAATTTGGAACACTTGAAAAGCATATGTTCAATCTATTTGGTGCGATTATTTTTAATTATTAATAATAAGATAACAAAACAAATTATTTAGGGCACGACTACCAGTGAACAATATTTGAGATAATCGCCTTCCCTCGAATAATCGCCCCTGTTGGTGCGAAATAACGCAGAAATAGTCTCGGCTATTATTTGAGGAAATACGGTAAGACGTGATCTAATACTGATGTAATCATTAACAGGACCTCCAGATCCTCCAATAAGAATGTTCATTGTCCAGGAACCAGAAGCAGGCGAATCCGTGAATATTTCATGGGAACTTGGAAAATCAAATGGTAGTCCAATAAGGAAAATGGTCATCCAATACTCAACGCAATTTTCATCAGACACGTGGCAGACACTTACTGAAGTGGATGACCCAGCGGTGAAAGGCCGGAAACAGATTCAACTGTCACCATGGTTACGGTATACCTTTCGTGCTGTTGCTGTCAATGACATTGGAAATAGCACACCAAGTGCCCAGTCTTCTAGCATCCAAACACCTGCTGCAGGTACTTGTCTTACACCCTTACGCCAAAAGTCTGATTAAAAGCCAGGTAACTCTGGTAAACCATACAAGGCTTTGAAAAAATTATAAGTAAAATTGAAATCCTGGTTAAGCCTGGTTTTACCAGGCTTTCGAAGTACATGTAAGCCTGGGTGAAATTTACCATGAAAGTCTGGTAACTCAGGTTTCGACTGAAAAATCTTAAGCGGAAATGGTTGGTTAGTCTGGTATTACCAGGCCTTCCTGGAAGGCCTGGTTAAAAGTTTCCACCACAAAAGCTTGGTGAGCCTGATTTTATTTTCCTTAACTGCAGTATTTCATTGAAATCGCTCGGGTTCAACGTCACTTCTCCCTGGATTCGGTTTGCTAATGTCATGTTTTAAGTCTCACTGCATTAAATTTGTGGGCTTTTCCAGGAGCCTATCAGTAATAGTCTTCTGGCAGGTCAGGTTTTGTCTTAAGTTATTGATATAATCAAACCTTAGTTAACATTCTGTAAACCCTGACCACTTTCCTTAGGGACCACTTTTTCAGGGTCTGAAGTTGAGTCTTACAGAGTGATAACCAGTGGGTCCATTTGTTCGAAGGCCGATTAGCGTTAAACCCGGTGTTGAATTTAATCCTGGTTTTCTTTTCTTGTGTTCAAAAGCATTTTCTCGGATAATTTTCTCTGTTATTTTAAGAGCTTCCAATCATCAACTTGTAGACAAAAAGAATTAAAACTGAAATGCTTTTTAAGGGTTCAAATCTGAAGTCAAATCTCGCACTAACCTCGGGTTATCTTAACCCAGCTTCGAACAACTCGACCCTGGACTCTTTCTCGGCATTGAAATGAACATTCAGACTTAATTGGATATTTCCTCAACTCAATACTTTTTAACTTTTTTTCATAATTCTTAGTATCAGGTAAGCATTTGATAATGTCTTCCCACACTTTAAGAAACGGAAGAGTGAAACATGAATGTTAATATAAAGATAAAGTAGGAACTTTATGAAGGGTTCCATAAAGCGCTGTGGCTCGAACCTCATCTTAGAGTAGGGATTGCCTCCAGTCTGTCAACGTTTTAGATTTCACGAGGAATGTTGTGCTTTATTTGTAAGCGACAATATAGCACAACAAATATAAGGTTTATCAAGCCAAAGCATTGAAATAACTATGAAGTATCTTTATTTACAGCTCCAAGCAGTTTTCCTCTTGAGGTGAGAGGCGAAGATAAGTCGTCCTCATCACTTTCTATCAAATGGAAACCCCTTCCACTTCTCAAGCAGAATGGCCCAGGACTTTACTATGTGGTGTACTACCGAAGGGAAGATGGCAAAGGAAGGCCTTTCAGGAAAGAAATCAGAAATTCTTCGTCATATGTTGTGACTGGCCTTAATTTCTACACGAAGTATGAGATTCGACTACAAGCTGCCAATGTTAAAGGGTTTGGACCCAAAAGTCCGCCAGTGTTTGGCTATTCAGGAGAGAAAGGTAGAGAATTCAAAGTTTAGGCGTGCCGAAGGCATTCTCCTTAGAAACTACAAGAATCCATTGTCAATGATTCCTTCTTCTTACCTTTTGACACAAAAGTTGTGATTTTATCTAGTTCTTCAAGGATAAATGTTTCAGTTAAATTTTAGCTTTCTTGTAAATATTCAGAACGTTTTGATTCCTATGTCCTTACCCATACTAAACTGAATGCTGTCAACTTTTGCATTGCCAAAAAGCGAGCTGCTGAGTAGTTTTCATAGATTGGGGAGGCGACATGTAAAGCCAATATAAAACAATGGAAATCTAACAAGAGAACAACATCCAGGAGAGAGTAAAAAGAATACGTTATTCAGCAGAAGTGGCTGCCTACCACACCCCGCCAGTACGAGCAGCTGATTGATTTCAGGAGTGTCTCTAAGAGTGATATATTCTATATATCGACAATTTTGGGAGAGAAATTGAAAAATTCCTATTTTGAAAACAATAAAACGGGCCCTTAGCCATTGCTTTCATCCTGGACCTAATATTGTTTAAGTAATAAACGGTTTACTTTTATCTTGACAGTGCCAGTAGGCGCTCCAAGAGACTTACACGTGCGCATTACAACTCCATCCTCAGCGCATGCAACTTGGACTGGCGTCCCAAACATAAGGGAGGCAATCCGTGGCAAGCTACTGGGATACAAGGTACTCGCGCAATTGTGTGGAAATTGTAGATCAACATGTGCTCTCGCAATGTGTTTAAAAGTTGAGAACTTAGGTCGCGTGGCTCAGAGATCAGTCAGAATTGCAATACCGAGGTCCCTGGTTCTAGGCCCACGGACCAGGATACAAACCACTGTAAATGGTTCACAATATATAGCACCGCCGAGTCTAATACCTCACTTCTGTACATATGGCCATGGTTTTTCTGCTACCATTTTTTATTTCATGTGCTATATTTTGTATATATTGTAGTTTGATTTTTATTAGCTTATGTGAGGACCTAATGCACAACTTTCATTAACTTCTACTGTACGTGTTGATTTTGTTACTGAAAGATTGTTGGCAGATGAATTATTTTAAAATTAATGACAAACAAAACAAAAAAAACTTGTACTCAGTCTCCTTTCTTTCATTGAGAGAGACTTTCTCCTGTGCCTTGTACGTAGGTTTATTTCTGGAAAACTCCAAGCGGTCAAACGCCTGAGAAGAACGCCAGATTCCAAAGTACCATCGACACGTCCACCACCTTGCATCTAGAAGCCTTTACCTCCTACAGATTTCAGGTCGTAGCGTACAACAGTGTTGGTGACGGACCAGCGAGTAATGTTGTGGGGCCCCTGACTACACCTGAATCCGGTAAAGACTTTGGATCAATTTAGGTTCCTGGAAAACTGCCCACCGACCCCTTCCCTAAGCCAACATTTTTCCCTAAGTGAGAATTAAGTGTTAATGTTAACTTAGGGGAGGGGTAGGTGGGCAGTTTCCCAGATCCACGACTTTTTAATGATTTAATATGAGGGCCAAGAAAATGATTACATTATTAATTGTTTTTATTTTTTTTTTCCCGCGGGACCAAGGGAGACAAGTTAAGTGATGGTCAGTTACTACGGTTACGAGATATGATGTCATAAGTAGTAGGTGGTCAAATCAGTTTTGAGTGAAGAAGCATGTTTTGTCAACTTCTTTTAGCAATAAAAGTAAATATTGTGGATAAAATGATGCAAAGTAATTACTTATGTATTGTTGTTACCACAAAAAATATTAATTTTCACTGTTTTTACCTGATTTCTAATTCCTGATAAAATCCAAAATGGCGACCATGTTGGTGACGTCACAGGCCTCCAGCAAGGTCCCTCCCCCTAAAATATACCACGTTTTGTAGAGAAGATCAAAGGCTTTTCACTGAAGGCAAAATCGTTTCGAAATACAGCAACGTATCAAAAACTCAGGGGAGAGGTTGAATCGATCCCCCTTGAACCACACCGTGGGGGTACAGCCTTTGCGCGTACGTTCGAGGGTAACTTACGCAAGGGCTTCTGGGATCGTTATTGGGTGCGCGCCGATGAGCTATCGGTCCACTGATCAAGTTCCATAAGTCTTTGCGAAAGTTAACTCGGCCCAGCGTCCTTATCATTGCGGGCAACAAGAGGAGCCCACAATCCTAGTCTCCACGTTGTTATTACGCATGTGTCGCATGTATGTGGCCAGCATGCGTTTGGACTTCCACTAAGAATGAATGAAATGCACAAAACGCAGTTTGATCACGTGCTTTTCGAACTTCTACCCCGAGTCATCTTATCACGCGTGTTTTGACCGTCTGTCAGTGAAACTTAAGCAAAAGCCCCGTTTGACTGCGTTTGACTGCGTTTGGACCTCTGATCGTTGTCGCCCGCACTCCGTAACCTTTGGTCATTACAAGTTTATAAAAGTGTTAATTGCGACTAATATTTACTTTTTTCTCCAGTACCAGATTCTCCTCGCAGTGTTTCAATCAACGTTCAGAACGATTCTCACATACTTCTGCAATGGCAGCCGCCAGAACATGTCAATGGAGCCATCAATGGTTATCAAGTTACTGCTCAGAAACAGCCAGAGATAATGACAGCGATAATTTGGAGAACTAATGATAGTTCAACTGAAATACTACTGGATCAAATAGATTTCCAAGCGGTTTACAGAATATCAGTACTGGCTATTAACAGAATGGGGAAAGGTCCACCCGTGACTGTTACATTTGATTTATCTGCAGGTTGGTTTCTATTATGGTGAGATATCATCTTACGAACAATATTAGGTATTCAAAGGGCTAAGGCTTTGGCATTTCTTGTATTGAAAGACTGACAGTGGTATAATAGTACTTGGGAGATAAATTTGTGCCCCAAATAATTCACACTACTAGCTCGTAAAAGAATTTGATGTTTTGAGTTGGCTGTTTTGTACCGAAAGATCTGCGGTTATTAGGGGACAAGCAGGGTTCGTACAGTGTATTGAATTCTTGAAAAAGTTTTGAAATTTGCCCAGCAATTTTCCAGACCTTGAAAAAGTCTGGAAAATGGAGATAAAGTCTGGAGAAAATAGAAATAGAAATAGGTCTCTATTGATCACCTATTAGTTTGATAACCTTGAGTCTGGAAAAGGAAACTGTTGTTTGGAAAAACGTCTGAAAAAAAAAAAACGAATATGGTCAACTTTCAAATCCGTATTCCAAAGCCCAGGATTCCGGATTCGACAAGCAAAAATGTACTTGGGTTGAAAAGACTGCTTGATAGGACCATCCCACCTTAGAAAAAGTGATTTTTTTCTCACGTGACACTGAATATATTTTAGGGTCCTCTTTAAAAAGAAATATTGGGGCCATGTTTTTTGACTGCCCTTCCCCATTTTTCGATCACTATGTAGGCTTTTCGGCCTGAGCGACCACTCCCGACAATAATGCAAAACATAGAGGACTGAACAGTCTATTCTCTGATCGTTTCGTTCACACTTGCTAAGTCGTCTGTTCCTTCTGTTGTAGCACCTGCAGTGGCTCCCACTAATGTTAAGGCAGGGTTTGATGTAAATAGCAAGGAAGCTAGACTATCATGGAAAAGTTCACTGACTGACATAGAAGGTTTTAGGGTAAGTAGAAACAATAAATATCAAAAAGGTTATATATAACCTTTGTGCATTTTAAATTGCTGTCTGTATCTAAGGATATGGCGCAGAATGTGAGTGGACACTTTGAATCATGAGTAAGGCGGTCAGTTTCCTACATAGGAAAAACCGCGCAGACTTTCAAAAATACTAGATCGAAGAGTGTGATTCAGTTCACGCTTCACTCGTAATACTTTCAGACCTATGTTTCTAGCTCGACTTTATAAGTAAAATATCCCAAGAATAATGGCTATAAAATTCTGCACGTTGATTTCTTAAAACCCAATGTGGTTGTGTGGTTGTTGTTACTCGTTTACTGTAACTTCATCCCTACGTTACAAGCCCTGTGGTTTCTATTTAAGGCTTCCTCGCCACTTTCGTTCTATAGTGGACCTAGAAACAATAGTTGGCCAATAGTTGAAAGGCCTTTCCCCAGTTACAATCCAAGAAACAAAGGCGGGACACATTATGGTTCGCAGTGGCGGAACCAGACCTTTAGATAAGGGAGGGGCCCGGTCATCCAGACCCTGAGATAAGTGGGGGCCTGGTCTCAAAACAATTTTTCACGGCCCTTGGGGCCTCAGTTTGGTCTAACAATAAGAAGGGGGCAGACAACTGCGGAATCTTGAAATTTCAAGATTTGGCATGCAGAAACTTAAAATTTCAAGATTTGACATGCAGAATCTTGAAATTTCAAGATTTGACTTGCAGAATCTTGAAATTTCAATATCTGGCATGCAGAATCTTGAAATTTCAAAATTTGACATGTAAAACTATCGAAATTTCAATATTTGGCGTCCAGAATATTGAAATTTCAAGAAATAAATAAATAGAAGCCATGCAACCGTTCGTCACATTAGAATCGAGAAGGAAAATAGGACGAGTTACCTTTTGCAAAAACTTTTGGGACCGTTACTAGAAAAAATAGTTGGCCAATAGTTGACCGGCCTTTCCCCAGTTACAATCCCAGAAACAACCGCGGGAACACATTTTCGTTCCCAGTGGCGGATCCAAACCTTCCGATAAGGGAGGGGCCCGGTCATCCAGACCCTGAGATAGATTCAGGCCTCAGTTTGGTCTAACAATAAGGGGGAGGGGGGAACCCAGGCCCCACGGATCCCTCTCTTGGATCCGCCACTGGTTCCAGTTCCCTTCTCGTTTCTAAAGTGGTAAATAGACTGAATCAGTAGCTCTCCAGACATGGTGTGTGATTGGAGAACGAAACAATAGATGATTCAACACAAACAATACCCCTAGCCCTAAAAACAGAAGAAGCTTCTGCTTATTTAGATCCATGAAAATATAGATCTAGAAGAGCTACTGTACTACTAAGACCGTAAATCACTTGCATTGCTTACCACCCAATTCATGATCAGCCGTAAGGCTGGTATCATGGGGTCTGCTGTAAGTGTGACTTGATATAGTTTCCTGTTTATGTAGCTTAAAACAATAACAGAAAGGCAAGTGGAAGTTTTCATTCTTAGTTGTTTTCTTATAGATATTTTACTGGGGAGAAAGTAATAACTTACGAACAGTGGACGTCGATAGAGCACGAAGGAGAAAAGAAATAATGTCTGGTCTCGAAAATGAGCACAAATTGTATTTCCAGATTGCGGCTTTCAAGATAATACATGGAGGTCATTACATTGTTGGACCAAGGTCAAAAAAAGTTACTGCGGGAAACGGTATGATAATTCTTAAGCAAGAGAGAATGTAGCTCATTCTCTCTTGTCTTAACTTATGCTACTGCAAAGTGCGTTTAAGAATAGGACTTTCAAAAGAAAATCGCGAAAGGAAGAAACTTTTGTTTTATATCACTTACAGCTTAGAAAGAGTGGTGACGGTGGTGCTCATCACTGGCTTTTTCAGTCGATCGGTGCTGCCCAGGGAGCTTTATAAGCGCCATTAGAGCTGTTTTAGGTGTCTTATATAGGTGGTACCTTAAGACGCTAGTCTCCTACAAAGCCGCATTTAGAATCGTCACGCAAGGCTCCCTCCCACAAACAGGAGGGTGGGTTTGTGGGGGAGAAGCGTTGTGTGACGACAGTAAAAAAGCCATATAGCAGACTATTTAGTGTCACTACCCAGATTTGAAAAGTTCCTCTGATTGGTTGAAGCAAATTTTCACCACAGAAAGACAAATCATAAAAGTACTAACAAGAGTAGATAAATGTAAGGAATTTCTGCAGTCGCATCTGATCTTTCGTATTTTTTAACTTCTTTCAGTTCCTGTATCAGATACACTATCCAGTGGCTGTATGAATGATAAAGCAAAGACTTTCATTCTTAGCTCTTTGATACTCCTCCTTGCAAGCCTTCAGTGGTTGCTAGTTAGATAACACTGGTTTAATCATCACCAGTAAAAATTACCTCGGGGATTGGAATTACGTCAACAGCCAAGAAAGCAGCGCCTAATTAAAAGTTGCCCGCCATCTCTGACCTTAAAGAGCGAGTCACGCCAGTAAGATGTGTCGGATGATGACCTATGATAACAACGCTGACGTCATAAGTGTCAGCCATTTTGTTACGGTTTTGTCTCAAAAACAAACAAATGGAAAAACTCACAACGTACAATGTATTACAGAGACGATGTATCAAAGTTCTGTTCCAATTCACACCTGCGTCAGAATTGAGGATTGCAGGTCGAATGCGTATTGTTCGCGACAAACTAAACAGCTCTAGCTGTTGATGCTAAGTTCGAAGAAATGTGAATCATTTCGATATTTAACAATAAATTGAGAAAACGCTAGTACAATTTACGATAAAACTGACGACCCCGTAGAATAAATGCACTTATATTAAATAAAAAGGAATTCCTGCTTATCCGGATATAGAAGTGATTCAATTGAAATACACAATTAATTGTGGTGACTTTGCTTATCGTAGTCACTATCCACGAGTTGAAATAGGCTCTTTGCAGTTGCACTAGACAGTTCTTGCTTGAGATCATCAGAATCAGACATAATACATTTAACACGATCGAAAAGTGTTCTTGTAACGCTGTAATTATGTTGCAGAAGGTGTTGTGAACTAAAATCCAAATATATTGGATAATATATTGTGTCCGATATAACCATCGATATGCAATAAGCTCCATAAACCTACTAACCCCACCATGGAGGGGCTTTAAGGCTGCCTAAAACTTCTTAATTCAAAGGGGATAGCCAGCAAATTGTTGTTGCTCGAAACATCTAATGTTGTTAAAGTAACTGTTCAACAGTAGAATTCCTAAAATGTGTTCAATTCCACAATTGGTTTCGGCATCATTAAATACTATACCAATTGTAGAAACTTATTATATTACAGTGTCACGAGCAAAAGTAATCGTCAGTACTCAAGCCCACTTTAGCACTCGTGCATGTGTGTGCTGAGTGCGATGCCTGATCACGTCAGTGACGTTTAACAATAAGCGCGGGATTCTATTAGATTGGCTATTTTTAACTTGTCCAATACAAAGCCATCTATTTGTGTGCATCAAAAGCACATTCAAGATGGCGGATGGTTCTAGTTCCGGGGGGGGGGGGGACTGCCATATATGGGCTATATAGGTATGTGCCGCTGTGAAGGGTATTGTTTTCAAGCAGTTTACTCTAGGATAGGGTATATAAATCAGAGCGTTTGGCTCTAGAATAGGGTATCATTTTTCTGGAAACTGATCAGTTGGTTGAAGATTTTATCTAGACTAGGTACACAGCTACTCTAGGATAGGGGGATTTGGGGAGTTTACTCTAGTATAGGGTAGCAAAATTCAGCTGAACTAGCTCTGGTAAAGGTTAAGGGTTCCAGGCTCTCAGCGGCACATCCCCACCCAGAAATTCCTAAAGTGTCCCCCCGGGTTCTAGTTCAACTCTTTTGCACAAGCTGTTTACAGCAAAGGGCAGTTAATATTACGCGAGACGATTCGTAACGACCATTGTTTGAGCAACACTGGCACAGCGTTGCAATATTGTTGTGACATTGTTTCGAATAATTGCAACACTGTTTTAACATTACAACGTAAAAATTGTTGTCGGGAATTGTCCCCCTGTAACAAACATGACACTAAGAACTGCGCAACTCGAACTGTGAGCATCAGTGTTTATTGTCCTCCGCCTAGTATCATGCAAAGTTTAAAAGACCTTATCACGGCTTTGGAAGCCTTCTTGACGGGTAGGCAAACGCGTGAGAATTTGCAGTATTTTGTATGAGTAAATAGAGGATATTACATGGCCGCGAGGGGATAGGAATTTTATCTTCGAGTGCTGAAGGTATCTCATTGCGCGCGACGAAGATATGATTTTTTAGTAAAAGGAAAAATCCTGGTATTTCATCAGTATCTATATAATAATGTCGAATAATTTCCGTAAAACGGCTTTTCTGTAAAACAAAACAAACACACAAACAAAAACAAAAACCAAGCAATATATGAAGCAAAGACGTTTAGCGACGCACGTCAACCGTAAGTGGTCTTAGTTGCGTTCTTTCGCTGTGGTTTTGCCCAAACGTTCAGGCAAATCATCTCTAAAAGAGTAAAGGCACTTAACAATCCGAATTTGGTATCGTCGAGACATAATAGTACTGAAAAAGCTTCACTTCCGGATGGAGTGCGTCGCTCAAAAACACGTTTAACCCCTTTTAAAAGTCCCAATGGTGACCAACATCAATTTTCTCCTAACGATATCCATACACTTTCAAGAGATATGGTTATGAGAATTGATAAAATAATCACCAAAGTGAAATTGCTTTGATCTTTTATAAAATTATCTCAACAAATTCTTTAAAGTAATGTATGGAGGTCAGTTTGGAGAATTTGTATGTGGATATTGGGGCTTAAAGGGTTAAAGGTCCCTATTATTTGTCACGATCACTACGTTTTGTTCCGCCGAATGTAATTACTCGGCTGCCTGTGCTGCCTAGTTATAAATTCGGTTTTCGGTCGTCTGTGTAGAAAAACGGCCTCCCGGGGGAGGGAAGACACGAGGGTCTGGTACCGAGAAACAATGTTCTCAAAAATGGGTTCATAGGATTTTCCCTTCCACTGACCCTTGCACGATGCTTTTTGTACCTCGTCTCCGCCCCCCCGGAAACCCAGAGGGCGTTGCGAACCTGAAGAAGGCTATTTGCGTTGTTCGAAGCGATTCGATCATAAGAGTTACTCTATAATTTTTTTATTGTTCAAGTTTAAGTCATCAGTTGATGATGTTGGCGCTGGGAATCTCAGAGAAATGCTCACGTTGCATATAAACCCACACGCCGTTCACGGTAGGTTCACACTAAAAGATGACTGTGAGCGTTAGGTTTGGAACGCCGGGGCCGCTTCGTGAACTCAAAGAGAGAATTATCGATTGATGTAGTACATGAGCAATTAATAAGCACAATTTATGAGCCAAGTATTTCACCAGTTGACGACACTATGGCTGAAGACTTGATTGTAAGCTGTCATACTCAGTGAAGCGAACAACTCAGTTGCCGATGAATGTCAGATAAATCCTGATGTTACGCACGTCCATGAGCGAGGGACGTGACAACTTTGCCATGTTAGAAGACTGGCTTTTCCTTTAAATATTTCCTTCCATTTAAAGCAACGCACACCACTTTGGAGGTCTAAATTTTGGATACTGAGGATAAAGAAGACACGGACAAAAATAGGAACTCTGAGAATTTCGCACACAAGTTCAAAGCTTCTAGTTTTAGTAAACTTCTGGGTTTCATCCAATACAATATATTTCTGTCTAGTGTAAATTAGCCCAGTGGCGAGTAGCTGACCCTGTCGCATTTTATACTCGTAGAACGACAATTATTTTTGAATTTCCGGTTACGTCAAATTAGTCACGTTATACTATCACGCTATATTTTGGGAGACAGAGGGATTGCGGGAGGGGTGCGTTTAAATAATGCAAATTGTTTCCTGTTTAGAATTAATGACTAACTTGTTTATTTTTATTCATAATGGTGAAATGTAAAAGTTATTATACAGCCGCCACTTAAAAATGGTACTCATTTTTTTTGTTATGAAAGTCTTTCAAAAGGGTACAATGCTCTGAATGAGTTTATGTTTCAGTCTCACATGAGATTCTGTCTCACGCAATGGTCGGCGACAAGGTTTTATAGGTTTTAGTGTATAGCCGCCCCTTCCCCTCAGAAAAAATAGCCCCTTGGCAGCCCAGTTAAAAATCGCCTTTCGGCGATTCTTGTTACATCTTATTTTTGGTTAGATTTGGATAATGACTTTATCGTCATAACAACCCATTACGCATACGAAAAGTGATGTTACACGAGACGTTTGGCAACTACTATTTTTAGCGCGACACAGCGTTGCAATATTGTTGGACCTCCCACACTGCATGTTTTGCATTCCGCCCAAAGCTAGAGCGTTACTGCGTGGACATGTTAAAATAGCGGTTATTACATAGTGTTAGTTAACTCCCACGAGGACATTTTTAGGTATATAAGCGGCAACGCAGTATTAGACGAGGACACTATCAAGATAGAGCAGAAAATGTAACCAGGATTTTTTGACTCTCTCCCTCGGAGTCTCCACTGTTTCAAGTGCATGTGTACAGAGAAGGTTACAGTATACCGAATAAACCTGTTGAAAGTGCAAACAACTAGTTCTTGATACTCTTCTAAGTGGATACGACATATATCCAATTCACTGCAGGAAGACGTTCTGAGCATTTAGTCACGCGTCCCAGGCGTTATAGTCCGGAATATATAATATACTCAACTGTGCCAATAATGCATTATTAGAAGGGCCAGCAACAGCAGATTTTTGGCGCGTATCTAAACTGTTTACAAATTTCATGATTAGGTAATGGTAACTTCCCAGTGGTCAGCGTAGTTGGCGTTTAGTCAACGTTTTATGTCTTTTATCGCGTCGTGCTTAAGAACGAAATGTTATCTAAAAATGTGTTCAACAGACTAGAAGTGTACGAATGACGCTTTTTAATAACAAAATGATATGAATGTATACTATAATTATTCTAAAGAAAAAATATTGGTAGCCAAGCTGATACTTCTAGAGTAATCAGTCAAGTAAATCAAAAAGTTCCTGCTTGTCAATCAAAGACTGGACTTACTGTTCCTGTTCTTATTTTTAAGAAATTTCCAGAATTACGGGCAGTTTTCCAAATCTGACTCCGTGTTCTGATCAATTTCCGGAGGTAAACTTGTAAAAATTTCTAACTTCTGCCATTGTGGTAAGAACAGGCGGGTAAACATCTTTCTACCTTGGTATGACTGTGTTCCGAGGCAAACGTAATAAAATCGGGGAAAACACTCCTCGGCTATCGGCTTACCGTAAATCCTCTATTAACTCACCTTCTCTCTCCTTATTTTTCTTCACTTCACCGTACTTAATCAATCACGACTGTAAAACTTCATGTGGACTGATCAGGGATGGTTTATTCACCAACCGTGATGTTCCGATTTGTTAATGATCCCGGGGGTGGGGGGAGGTACTACCATATATGGG